AGGTCTTAAAGGTTTAATCATGTTCATTAATACAATCAAATATAATCATTGCCTTTTTAAGCTTTTATTTGTGTCCCCTGACCTACTTTGGTATAGGCTGATTGCAAATGTTTTCAGTTAATATGTTTTGTCCACTAAAATTCTAGTAGACTTTTAATTTGAAATAGTTATCATGTCTGAATATATAGAGATTAATGACTATATCATGTATAAAGAACTTAATGATAACTGTAACTGGGGGTGTCATATAAAGGGCTTCTTACATCCTGTAGAAATAAAGACCCAAATATGTTATGTTGCAGATTGTTTTCTTCAATTACTTATGAATATGTTTCTCATTCAGACACGTTTGGTTTGTTTGTTTTTTTGTTTTGGTTTTTTTGCAACTTGCATGGATATAATCATGCTTTCTTTAAAGACAAGTGTATCTTTCGTATGAATCAAGTAATGGTTTATATTCCTAGACTTTATTTTAGGAGCTTTTCTGATAACATGGTAATGTGCAAATGTGTCTGACAATCGCTGGCTTTATTTCCTGTTAAGAGATCTCTGAAAGCAGTGTTTTGAGGTCTGCGGGCAAACATGTTGCTTGTGTATTTCTTTGTCTTTTGGAGACCTTAAAGTAAGCTAACTTCAGCAAACCTCACATTATGCTCAAATGGGTCAGTATAGTAGCTTTAACTTCAAGATTTAGTGATATTGCAGATTTTCACTTTTAAAAAATGTTACTACGTAGATCTATGACCACTTTGCACGGAATAAGCAATATCTCCTTGTTGGCAGGTTCCTGTACCGGCACCTGCTGATGTTTTTCAGCAAAAATGCAAATCTCACTCAGACGTCAATCTTCCAGCAAAGCAGCAGCAGCAGCAGCTTCCTCAGCCTGAAGAGTGGTATAACTCTTCACCTCTATGTCAACCAACTACCAAAGGGTGCTGCGCAGATCCCTTCCAAACTGTGAGTGCTTATCAGCTTAACCCCACAGAAGTTCATTTCCTTTAACGCCTCTTCTCTCTCGCTTTTGAAAACAGGCGAACAAAAATATGTTACCTACATTTTAGCAGATTTTTTTGCTTCTTACCCATCTTTGTAGTAATGACTGAAACGCACAGCATGAACCTGAAATGGTTTACACAGGCTCTGGCATAATAATGACCTTTTTAATACTGGCTTACTCATCTCACTCAGTTTAGCAGTTTACTCATACTCAGTTTAATATAGGAAAAATACCAATATGTAGTAACACTGTGTCAGGTGCACTGCTTTTCCAACCAGAGGCTGCAGTTATGTCATATTTGACCTGGTTCTGATAATAGCAGTGATTTAATAGACTGAAAGAGGAACATATAAGGCCCAAGTCTAATGGCTGTATGGAAATCTCATACTAAAAAATTTGTTATACTTAGGAGGCAGAGTTTGGTTTTGAAACATGACTAAAAAAGTTTATTATATATAACATTATTTTGATGATGTAGATAAGAATCTGTTCACATGAACCATTTCTGAAAACTGAAAAATCAGAGGTTTCCAACTCCAGGCCTTATGGACTGGTGTTCTGCGGATTTTAGATATTATGCTGGGTCAACACACCTGAATCAATGATTAGTTCATTACCAGGCCCTTGGAGAACTTCAAGACATGTTGAGGAGGTAATTTAGCCATTTAAATCAGCTGTGTTGGATCAAGGACACATTTTAAAAACTCCAGGACACCCTCTCTTGAGGCCTAGAGTTGGACACCTCTGTCTTAAATGGTTATAGAGTAATAATACATTTTGATCAGTCCATGGGTGAAAATTATTTTAAAAGAGGTACAAAAAACCCCCAAAAAAACCAATCACGTCACATCAATCAAGTTTTTGCTCTTGTCACCCCACATTTATTGCTTCTTGATGTATTATTATTATTTGTTTTTGTTTAATGTGGATGAATGGAGACAAATGTTAGTGGGTAGTGTGCTCGCTGTAAACATCCACTGATTGTACTCCCCTACTATCCTCTTGTGCTTTTTCATAAATGTATGTGGTCTGTGGTTCTGGGTTGTTAAACTCCCCGAATACCAGAATCTTTATGCACATGCACCATCCCGGTAAACTGTCAGAAAACAAGACTTGGATCTATTTCTTCAACAGTGCTGAGCAGAAAATGCTAAAAAGAAAAAAAGGCATGAACTTTAATAGTTGACTGAGTGTTTCTAGCTAAAGCACATTAACATGTATCTGTATGAGGTTGGATGATGATCAGATCCCAGTTTTTTTTATCACTTTGTGCTATTGACAGTGCAGTTGGCAGCAGATTGATGCAGCAAAAGCAGTACAGCTCTGAGACATGTATGCTTAGCTCAAAGTCTAACACACATTTTCCACTAAAATACCTGAAACTCACTTCGTGTTACCACATTTGATTGAACCTCCCACATGTTTATGCCTCTCCACCCACCAAAACGCAAAACAAAGATGAGCAAAGCAAATTTCGGGGGTGCTTTTCATTATGGTAACATGTCTGCTCACTTTCCTCACTCACTCTCATTGTTGCTTCTTAGTTTACACTGGCAAAATTATAAAAGAGAGAAATGTGAAGCTGACATACCTTGATTTCATATCATATACTGATAAATCAGTTTTAAACAATCCAGTCTTTAAGTGATGACGTAATGAATCCTGCTTCCGTGCCCAAACTACTCCACATTTAATAAGGCTTTTGTGTTTTTTTACGTTTTCATGCTTTGTATCTTGTTCTTTTTGATCTCAACAAGCCCCTAAAAACAGTCACTGATCACTGTCGGCCTCTCTGTTTTTATTACCGCTAATCATTTTAAAGCTCACTTTTTAAAACCTTACGATGTAACTACAGACCAGCCCATGCAGCAGTATATTAATAACTAACCTTGTTGACAGTTTTTAACTCTCAGTGATGCCACAGCGATCGTGTGACTTAGGGACCTGCAGCGGAGTTTGGGCCCACACATGGCTAATGACGTCAGACTTAAAGACCGGATATTAGTTACTTGTGAGATAAACGGATGTCATTAAGTCACAACAATTGTCCTCATTTTAAGTGCCATTTTTCTTTTTCTTTTTTGTGGAAGTAAGAAATCTGAATCTCCTTCATATATAGTGAGGAATGACTTCCTAGTTGAGCGAGAAGAGAGGACACTAGGAAGCATAGGTTAGCATAACAAAAGGCACCTGATAATACCAGAGTGTGTGAGTGCAGCTTGCATTGGTTTTTGGAATGCGGCAGAAACGTGGTCCATGAAGAACCTGATGTCAGCTATCTGTGAGTGACGTTGGTTAAGAGTTAAATTAAATAGAACTTCAGTTTAAACAGTTCGGGTTATAGAAGTTTGAATAATATCTTGAAAGATATATCTCTAAATAATATCTCTAAAGATATTATTCAAGCTCAGAAATATTTTTCTCACCTTTCTGCTTAATTTGCAGGCGCCTGAACCCACTCTCCATGTCAGCATGGCAAGTTAACAACGAGATCAGCCTACACCTGTCTGTGGAGGGCAAGGTGTTGTTTAATTTCTTTTATCTGCTGAACACCTAAATGATTCACCTGTACCTGTGTTGATGCATGAGTATAAAGGTGTACTTTCTTTTAAAGGTGTTCTCGGTTTTCTCATCACTCCTTGATCACTCTAACTCCAAAGTTGTCAGCATGTCCACAACAGACAAGATCACTCAGTGGCAGGTCCTTGGATACCAGGGAGCCTTGCTTAGCCACTTTATCGAGCCCATCTATGTCCACAGCATCCTCATAGGCAAGTAATAAAATCAGTCATACTCCTTAAGGGTAGTTGGGAATCACCCTGTATTTGTTACCTTTTCCAAAATATGAGGAGTTAGCAAATGAGAGATCCTGTTTTTTTGTTTTATTTTTTTTTTTATCATTATGCAAAAGTGCATCACCACCAAGTCCAAATACACCAGTAGAATCACTCCACATTGGCAGTGGGTTACAGTGTGGGTGAATGCTAGATGTCTTCATTTGTGCTGGTAATAGTGATATGAACACAGTTCCTGTGCTTTTGTCATTTCACAAAGTTGTTACAAAGCACTAGTCTCTCACACAGTCCCAATTTAAAAATGGAATAGAGCAAGCATCTTAAAAATTCATTTCATTTCAGGGCTGGGAGGAGTCTATTAGGGTGTACTTCACATCATAAAAAGATACGGCAAATTGTTTTTTCCAAGAGAGATCTTAGTGTAGTACCTGCTGTCATTTAAAAGTACAGTGGAACCCCGACTTAAATTAATTCGTTCCCGAGGGTCTTTCGTAAGTCGAAGCACCCATTGCGCGTTTTGAGTGAGGCGATGCTGAACGATAGGCTATAGGCTAATTGCTAACTAGAACAACAATACGTCGTTCAAGTGGAACAGCAAAGCTCAAGTACGGAAGCCAAGGGGTTGTCACACGATTCAGAAGGCATTGTGGGCATTGTAGGCTCAGCCAATCAGAGCCAGCGGATTTCGTTACTCGGGCATTTTGCCGTAACACAGGCAGAAATATTGCCGTTCAGTGCCTTCGTAACTTGAATTTTTCATGAAACGGGGTATTCGTAAGTCGGGGTTCCACTGTATGTGGAAAAGAAACAAACTGATGGCTCTACATTTCATACTCATACAATTCCTTCTGTAACTTTGTGTAACCCTACATAAGATGTTCAATGTATGCACCTGCTTTTAGGCAGGTGAAAAACAGTTGACAAATTCCCCAAGTTTAAAATAATGTCCTTTTGACAATATATCATTATGTCACAGTAGTGGATCCTCAAGTTTCCAAGTTATTTTTACAAAGGTAAAGTAAAAATTTTCTTCCTTCCTCTCCTTTTTCATAATCATAATGACTTTGACCACATTGATTCAGTCTGTAAGGGATGGGGAAACTCCAAAATGAGTTGTACTCTATATTTGCAGCAAACAAAGTCAAACACCTTCACAATTGCAGGTTGCAGCAAGATTAGTCATAAAAAATGATACCACTAACTGAAGGAAACTATATATGATTCTGTGTCTTGTAACTTTAAATCAACCTTGCAGGTGACTCTGACTGTAGTGAAATTCGTGGCATGGAGATGTCTGTCAGCCAGCGTGTAGAGGGCATCACCTCCAAGCTGCCCATGTTCTATTGCATGATGAGGCCTCACATTAGCCTGGTGTCATCTGTGGCTTCCAGCCGTGCAGGCGGTAACCAGCTGACCTACGGTATCAACTGGAGCGAGGGAGACAGCTCCCTGGAGGTTGTGGATGGTCTGGAGGGCAAGACCATAGAGGAGTAAGAATCACTGTATAGGAAGTTGGGAGAATTGAGGGGTTTTGGGGTTTAATACTTATTTTGATATGCTTTATTTTAGTTATACTTTTAAAATGAAGCATCTTAAAATAATACGCTACCAGTGAAAAGTTTGGACACACCTTCTCATTTAATGGTTTTTCTCTATTTATGCTACTTTCTAGATTGTAGATATAGCAGGGCTCTAGACTAACTGTTTGACATGGGCGCACCGGTACGCCTAACTTTAATCATTTAGGCGTATCGGCACAAAAGTTAGGCGCACTCAAATTTTTCAACCGCATCGCTTAACACCGCAGTTTTACATGTGCACTTTCTTTGGGGGGGAAGTCCATACAGACAATATTCATTTCTAAATTATTAACGAACAAACTTGTGCTTAAAGTGCTTTGTCAATATTGTAGAAAATGTTAAACTTAATCATCATCTTGGCCTCCTCTGACGACCTGTTTGCTGCTGTCTGCTGCTGAAAGGCAGTGGGGAGAGGGGACACTTGGGCAGTGCATTTATTGCAGCATATAATGTGTTTTCTGGATACACTGTGCTTTTTCAGCATTCAAAGATTGATGGCACTGTGTCAGAGCACTGGCTATGAATTTCAGACAGATCAGGCCTTAACCTAACAAAAAAGTTATCAATAGTTCTTTTCATCTTTTCTTATTACCCACAGCTACATCCACTTCTGTCAGGCCTATAGCCCTAGTGAGTAGCCTCACTAGGGCTGAGTATCATCACTGATTTCTATAATCCATTCGATTCCGGTTCTCAAAGTCCTGATTCGATTCAATTTAGCCTCAGACAGTCAGAAATATTATAATTCTGATCATTTATCAGTACTGATACATGTGAGACTTCATCAGAATTGTGAACATCACAGCAGATGCCTTTGTGTGAAAGTAACTGAGAATAAAACACAGAAAAAACCATGAAGGAGATTTTTCTGACCTGACCTTGTATAGCAGATAACCTTAAAAATATTCTGCAATATTCTGCAATTTTGCATAATTTTAAGAAGTTTAAATTTCTTCAGTATTAAACAGCAGAAATTAGGCTTTCTTGTCCGAGGACATTTAAGTGAAAAAAGAAAAAGACAGCGCTGTAAACAACAGTAGACTGGTGGGTAATAAGCGAATGAATAATGCAGAAAACAGAGATTTGAGATGGGAAACTGTTCTTGAAGTACAGCGAGAGAGAGAGAGAGCTGTGCATGAAGTGTTATTTTTTATTTATTTTTTTTTAATCGTGGTGGAAGCAAAACAGCAAAAGTCAGAGGAAATCCATGACGACATTAATCAAATGTGAAGCGTAGTTTGCTGCTTCTTTTGCTGCTGGCTCGGTGAATTTTGGTTGGAGAGAGACAAAACCTGCAGCTCAGAATCAGCGCAAAAAGACGTAAACACAGAGCGGACCCTACGCATCAGAATCGCTGAGCTCCGACAGCGTGTCCGTGTTCGGGCCGTCGGCTGAGAAAGCCGAGAAAGACAAAGCTGATTCTGTGGAATCTGTGTAACTGCTCTCACTTAATGTTTGGTGGTTGTTGAAATAGTTTTGCGAGCTTTAATCTGAGAATCTGGCGTTACTGGCAAAACACAGTTATATTTAAAAGTCCATTCAGGATTTAATGAATAATATCGCTTTATTCAAGCTACTCACCTCCCTCTTCCAACTGCACTTTCAACTGGACCACAGCCAATCAGAGAGGTCCCGCCCCTGACTATCTCTGATTGGTTTAGTCCACGATAGGGGCATAATGTGTGTCTGTTGTTGACCACACGGAGAGTTGCAGAGATTTTTTTTGTTACCCGAACAGTTGGTCGCACAGGTGCGACCAAATATTTTTTTTAGTCGCACCACTGAAAAATATGGTCGCATTTGCGACCAAATTGGTCGCACTCTAGAGCCCTGTATAGACATCAAATATATAAAGCAAGATATATGGAATTGTGTAGCAAAGAAAGAAATCATGAATAACTCTGAGTATATGTGATATTTTAGATTACTGAAAGTAAAAGCCACCCTTTGCTTTGTTGACAGTGCTGCAAACCCTTGGCCTCTCAGTGAGCTTCATGATGTGGTCACCTGAAATAGTTTTCACTTCACAAGTTTGCCTTGCCAGGATTAATTTGTGTAATTTCTTGCCGTCTTAATGGGGTTGGGACCATCAGTTGTGTTGGGCAGAAGTCAGGTTGATACAAAGTGGACAGCCCTACTTGATAACTGTTATAATTTCATATTATGGCAAGAACCAATCAGCTAAATACGCATTTGATTTACAGGTACAAAATATTTATGACCACAATTTGAGCCCATACAATCCATCATTACTTTAAGAACTGAAGGTTAGTCAGTCTGGAAAATTGCAAAAACGTTGAATGTGTCCCCAAGTGCAGCTGCAAAAACCATCAAGTGCTATGATGAAACTAGCTAACATGAGGACTGCCCCAGGAAAGGAAAACCAAGAGTCACCTCTGCTGCTGTGGATAAATTCATCGAGTCACCAGCCTCAGAAACCACAGCACCTCAGATGAGAGCCCAGATAAATGCCAGTAGCAGACACATCTCTACATCAACTGTTCAGAGGAGACTGCACAAATCAGGTCTTTGTGGTAAAAATGCTGCTAAGAAACCATTACTAAGAAAAAGCAATAACAGATATGTTTGGGCCAAGAAACGCATGGACCAGTGAAATCTGTGCTTTGGTCTGATGAGCCCAAATTTGAGATCTCTGGCTCCACCCGCTGTGTCTTTGTGCGACACAGAAAAGGTGAACAGATGGTTTCCAAATGCATGGTTCCCACTGCGGAGCATGCTGGAACAGGTGTCATGGTGTGAGGGTGCTTTGCTAGTGACACTGTTGGGGATTTATTCAAAATTGAAGTGACACTAGTTGTACCATAATTTATTTTTCAACAGGAAAATGACTCCAAACACACCTCGACAAAGACAAATCATAGAGTGAAGAAGACCAGGAAGAAGGAGAAGACATCCATTGCAGATGACCTTCACCTCAATGACACCTGCAGCTCTGACTTTGGCTCCAGGACACGTGGCCGAGGCCTCAAACGGGAGAATGATGAAGACCAAGAAGTAAAGAAAGAGGAGAAGGTGGTGACACATGAAATCCCCCTGCTGTCTGGCGACATCAGGATGACAGAAATGGACATAAGCGACGATAAGGAATTTACCCCTCCTGAGCCAGCTGTAATTGAGGAGGATGAGGCAGAGCAGGAACTGCAGAAGCAGAGGAAGCTGAAGAAAATGCAGCTCCTGAAAGACTCTGGGGAGAAAGTGGCAGAGCAGGTTAAGAACCTTGTTAAAGATGACAACGAAGACCATCCTGACAAGAGGAACAACATTGTTTTAAATGCTACCTCAGAGTTTTGCAGAACCCTGGGTGATATCCCAACATACGGACTGTCAGGCAACAGAGAGGACCAGGAAGACATTATGGACTTTGAACAGGAGGAGGAAAAAGATGATGCTGGAGATTAAGACTCTTGATACGGATGAGAATGTTGGATGGAGTACAGTTAACCTGGATCAGGAGCAAAAACAACCAGATTTCGCCACAGCCTCTGCCACCATTTTGGACGAGGAGCCCATCGTCAACTCTGGCCGCGTTGCTGCACTGTTGCTGTGCAAAAATAAGGGTCTGTTGGAGACTCAAGTGCAGAAAGTAGCACGTGTCAAAGCACCAAAGGGTGCCCTGCCCAATGGTGACTAGTGCATTGAGGACAAGATGGGCTTTGATGACAAGTACAGCCGCAGAGAAGAATACAGAGGTTTCATGCAAGACTTCAAGGAGGATGGCTGCAAGCTTGACGTCAAGATTTAGTACGTGGAGGAGTCTGGGCGGAAACAAACTCCAAAAGAAGCTTTTAGGCAGCTCTCCCATCAATTCAACGGAAAGGGGTCTGGAAAAATGAAGACCGAGAGGAGGATGGAAAAAGCTGGAGGTAGAGGCGTTGCTGAAGAAGATGAGCAGCAGCGATACCCCTCTGGGAACTGTGGCTTTACTGCAGGAGAAGCAAAAATCCCAGAAAACACCATATATTGTGCTTGGAAACAGTATGAAATCAAACACAATTACTAAATAAACATGAGGGAAGAAGTGTATTATAATTGTATATAATTAACGTAGAAACATTCACGTGCATAGATAAAATACACACATACACATCTTTTAATCAATGTCTATGATTCAATGTCCTAGTTTATTGAAGCTGCAATGTTGTGTTGTTTAATTGTTCAATAAAATCAGTACAATTCAGAAGGAAAAAAAAAAAGAGAGAGAGAGAGAGGGGGTGAGAAGTTCGGCCATTCGGGAGGGGCTCAGAGTAAAGCCACTGCTCCGCCACATCGAAACGACGAGGTGGTTCGGGCATCTGACAAGGATGCCCCCTGAGCGAGGTTTTCTGGGCATGTCCCACCGGGAGGAGGCCCCAGGGCAGACCCAGGACACGCTGGAGAGATTATATCTCTCGGCTGGCCTGGGAACACTTTGGTGTTCCCCCAGATAAGCTGGAGGAGGTGGCTGGGGAGAGGGAGGTTTGGGCTTCTCTGCCAGCCCCTGCGACCCGGGCCCGGATAAGCGGACGAAAATGGATGGATGGATGTTTTGAGTTATTTTACGCGTTTTTGTTTTACATAATTCCATGTGTTCAGTTGTAGTTTTAATGCCTTCAGTGAGAATCTACAATGTAAATAGTCATAAAAATAAAGAAAAACCATTAAATGAGAACGTGTGTCCAAACCTTTGACTGGTGGTGTATACCCTAAATAATATATGAGAAATGACTAATTGAAAGATCAGATTATTTTAAGGTTTTTACTAGACCGCTTGGAAATGTAATTAACATGTTACCAGATAAATTGAGAACTATAGGCAGTATCCTTTTTTGACACAACTCAACTCAGGCTGTGTTGGAACATCACAACTAGAGTTTCATACTCATTTATTTGTTTGGTTTGTAGCTCTCCCTTTAAGAGTGGATCTGCCCTAGCGAGCCGTCTGTGCAAAGCAGCGATGATGCACCGCTTCAGGTTGGTGGCCAAAGAGGCTCAGAGGACGGACCTGCTGGCCACAAGTACCTACAGAGAAGCCAAGGTAAACTCAGCACCTTCTTCTGCGTAATCTGAAACTTTATTTTAGCAATGTAAACTGCTGTACACTGATCCAATAGAAAGCAAATGCTGTTAAACACATGTTAAAATAACCACCACACAAGCTTATTGTATTTTCTGCTTTTTTTTAAATGACCGTTTCCTGACTTGCTGAATTGTTGTTTTAAAAAGAACCCCAAGCTGTTATTCATACTATATATTTTTTGGGTCACCGAAGATGATGGCAAAGCCATACCAGGAAGCCAAGAATGTGCTGCGGGCGTACCTGTTGCAGAAGGGCTTTGGTTCCTGGCAAGACAAGGTTTTGGTTAGTGATAACTTCAGCATGTGAATAATGTTACAACATTAAAGAAGAATGTTGATCAATAATCAGTTGTGTTCAAAATGTTCAACCTACTTTTCATTTGCACCACTTGCTGCATGTTGGTTTGTTTTTTCAAAATACATTTAAAGATTTGTAGAAAATAATTTGAAAGCACCCAACATAGAATATTGCACCACAACTGGTCTTTAGTTTTGCTTCTTTCAGTTAATACATGTACTGTATATTAAGTACATTCTTTCTTTATTAACATTTGCACTGGTTCATATACTGTATCTTTTGTGATGGAAATGGCCATAGAGCTTAGGACAGAAAAAATAAAAGTATGTCAGCCAAAGCTCATAATATCTATTTATTTTGCCACTTGTGTTTTTTATGGTGAATTTTTCTGTTGGAGTCAAATTGTTACTTAAATTTGTAAGTCTTAGTTCAAGCAGCATGATCAAAGACATTCCTTTGTTTCTGACCCCCTCCCCAGACTGTTGAACGGTGGGGGAGGCTGTAGTGTTTTATTATGGGACATCCTATGTGAAGGTTCTGTTTTCTTGTTTAGTAAGCTTCCTGGTTTTAGGACCCTTTTGTGGGCAGGAGGTCACACAAATGCACTCACATGCATACAGACACACACATTCTCACACATGCATACACACACATATACACACACGTGGCTACACGTGCACACATAGACACACGGTGCCTTATCTTACTTGCAAGCAAGTAAAAACCGGTTAAAGATGTTCGTCTTGCTTCCTTGTTGTTAACGGGAATGAGTTTCTAAACCAGCGGGGCCTGTGGAAGCGCAGACCCAACATTTTCTTTCTTTCTTTCTTTTTCTTGTTTTTTTAATTTCTGGTTGTGAATTAGGCACAGAATAGCTAAATAGAAGTTGTTACTGACCACAAAGCCAGTTTTGTAAGGGCAACCACCAGCAACCAACCACCATGTCTACCCTTACCGTGGGACATCATGGGTGCACATGGCACCAGACATGCGTGGTTTTGCTAGTTCTGATACATGACCAAAACCTCAGATTGCTTGGCTCTCATGTATTTGTGCTAAGCAATCAAGCCGCTTTAAAGGAAAGATCTACATTTGATCCATAAGATAATAACATAATAGTAAATGGGCTGGTTCTTATATAGTGCTTTCTTACTCGAGCACTCAAAGTAAAAGGAATTTTCAGCTTCTTTTTTTTTCCATAATTGTTGAAATTCTAAATCACTGCTGAGGTGCATGTTGGATAGCTCTTTATTTAAGTATTTATAAAAACACACCAAGCTTTCACTAAGACTTTAGAGCAAAGTTCAAGATAATCCTAGTAAGTGATTTGTTGTCATAATCGAATATTAAATCTATAAGGTTGTGGATATATAGCAACACATAGCAATATAATGGGCAAATATTGGCCACTTAGACAACTGTTGATAATTAGATATATAAACTCATTAAATACAGCTTTTCAAGTAGATCATACTTGTCAGAGAGAAGGTTTTTTTTTTGGGTCAGTTTTGGTGGCTCAACTTCTCTGTCTGCACTGCTCCCATGTGGAGTACCACAAGGTTCTATTCTGGGTCCGATTCATTTCGTTTTATATTTAGTTCTTGTAGGGTCAATCCCAAAAAGATATGGCATCTCATCCACTTCTACGCTGATGATTCCCAAATCTATTTGCCCCTGAAAGGAAATGATGGCAACTCATTAAGTCTTTTGTATTTTGATGACATTAAAGGCTGAACTGCTTTAATGTTTCTAAATTTGTTGAGATTTGTCTGGTGATCAGCTATTTCTCCATGTTCCAAAGACCAGACTTAAGAACAGGGGCGAGCTAGTAAAATATAACCTAATCTATGGAACAATTTGCCTCCACATATTAGGCTGATCCTCACTTTGCAGATATTTAAAGTACACGGTGTCTACTGGCAGCAGGAATAATGCACCATATCACAAAGCACTTTCTTCGCCTTTAGACAATAGTTCTGATGGCAAAAGAACCAAATGGGACAGGCAAAAAAAAATCTCAAACTGATTTCTTGAACAGGACAATGAGTTCATCATACTTAAAAATCGTCTACAGATACTAGATCTCAATCCAGAAGAGCACTGTTTTGGTAGAATGGGAGATTCTACCAAAATGTGCAGCTGATAAGCCTGCAGCAACTTTGTGTGCACATAGCATTTGTTAAAATGAACATTTATGGGCAAAACCTCAAACCCTATATGTTATTATAACAGCAGCAAATGACTACCTGCTTCAGAGAGTTGTGCATTAAAAATTACACATTCACCATGTACGAATAGGTGGTTTGTGCATTTCTTATAACGTTTTCTCATAATTCTTATAAAGTAGTGCATTGCCTAGATTTTAAAAGAGCAAATGACTGGTCCAACATCCTGCACCATTCATATTTCTTAAAATAAAGTGCCATCTTCCTAGTTTGCTTCATCAAGAGAGGCATAACTGATTTTGTGTTACAATTTTAAATAACAAGCTCCTGCAAGTGGCTGGTTTATTTGAACAAGTTTAAAATGAGATTGCATTTAAAGCACTGTATAAAAACTGTCTTGTGCAGACTGAGGTTGTTTGTTACCAGATTCTGGTAAGCTGACCCTCTATGTTGATAAACTGTTGATTTACCTCTCTATATGGTGTATATATACACACATACAGGAAATGCTTTGGTTTCCTGTGCATGCGATGCAGCAGATCATTTACTCCTAACTGTTCAGCAGCCTTGTGAATGAAGTGGTGTGTTAGCCATTGGTTAGCCAACAGAAGGAATTGCCTGCATGCAGGGAATTTTTGCACCAGGATCAAGCTATGCAGTTGTATGTACAGCACCAGGTTTCCTACGTATGTCTTCTTTTTTATGCTACTAGTTTTGTATCATATGCACAGCAGTGTGAGATCTAACATTTTTACTTTAGTGCACCAAACCCTGATTGTAACTTGCATTGCTTTTAATTGTAATTTGACAGAGTTTCAGTAAATTGCAATTTTATTGTTCTGGTGAGGATATTCTTCACTTCACATTTGCAGCTTCCAGTGAGTTTGGTTGACACTTTTGCTTTTGATTTAGTTAAGGAAGCAGTAAGACTGCTCTCCAAACTTGCTTGAAAACATAATGAGGGAAAATGCTTATCAAGTATTGTGTCAATGCACTTTAAAGTCATGCATTTACCTGCATGTAAATGATTCTCCTTCTTGCTCTGCCAAGGATATTTTGCACATGTATCGACATATATTTTATTTAGTAAATAGGCAAATTGTAGATTATCAAATGAAGTAACTGTCATGTCCTATGTAAATAAGAAGAAATCCTCCTTACTAATTTTATTTTAATTCAGATTTCATGACAGCTATGCTTTATGTGCGTCCATGTCAGGCAGTATTCTGCACAATGTTGGTTTTTTTTTTTCCAAATACATGGTGGTCCACACGCTGGTAGTCATTTTTATTTAGTTATTTTTTTTAAAGGTAGTAAATTTCACATAAGTGTATCAGGGCCTAATGTTATTACGCTCTACAGAGTATGCCAGAGAAACCTGAAGACCTCCCAAACAGAAGCAGATTTACACAATGTAAGCCTTCTGTTTTTCTTTCTTTTCTTTTTCTTTTTTTTGTCTTCAGTCAGTCACTAAGGTAATAGTAGTAGGTTTAGAGATAAACAGGATATGCAACTCTCTTGATGTGGTTACACACAGTGAAAACATTTAAGACCTAAACTCTTAGAAGCTGCAACACCATAACCGAGGTGCTTTGCACAAGGAAAAGTAATACATTCTGCATTTTTAAAAATAGTAGCTGGGTGAAGAAGTAAGCAGGCACCATATTGCATGTTTTAAAATTCTGTTTTCTGCTAAAAATCTTGATTAACTTGATATAATATTAGGTTCAGCAAATATCAGCAATACAGCCATGATTATGAGAAAGTGACGCAATAGTGCACAAATAGCTTCTTCCGTGAAATGGGTGAAACACTTTGGAACATGGAACAATACCATGTAAAAGAAAAGCAAGCGTTTTCCCTCAGATTTTCGCTGTTCTTTCAATTTACTAGTTTTTATATTAAGTGCCATCCACACTACGGGTCTGGTTGGAACATCCACTTACCCATTATAGGTAGAAAAAAAACAAGCAGTCCCAGTTTATTGGAATTTTATATCAATGCGATGATAAGAAAAGGAAGTCCTTTGAAAGAGGTTCATTGCTGGGGCACTGAAGCACAAGCTGCAGTTAAAAAAAATTTCTCAAGTGGTTTGTTTTTCAGTAGACGAAATTTACACCTGTACTTCAGGGTATGGTAAGACATAAGTAATTGACAAGTGTAAGAAACAAAAGCAACTTTCTTTTAAGGCAGGGATGGGCAACTCCAGGTCTCAAGGGCCAGTGTCCTGCAGGTTTTAGATGTGTCCTTGATCCCACACAGATGATTTGAATGGCTGAATGACCTCCTCAACATGTCTTGAAGTGCTCCAAAGGCCTGGAAATGAACTAATCATTTGATTCAGGTGTGTTCACCCAGGGTGATTTCTAAAACCTGCAGGACATCGGCCCTCAAGGCCTGGAGTTGCCCACCCCTGCTCTAAGGCAACTGAGAATGCCAATTAGACAATGACTGACATGGAATTTTCTAGGATGATATAGATGTTCATATAAATGACTCCAACTGTGTTGGAGTCATTTATATGAACACGATGTGGCTGAAAATACATAATTAAAAACTGATACTTCATTCCTAATTATTTACACATATCTTGATGTGCACATGATGCTACAATTGTGATTATAATTAGTTGTCATCAAATGTCTATGCGTGCATGCCTTTTGTGTGCTTGATATCGTATTGTGTTTATTCAACTATCAAACGTTACCCATAGACTGGACTATGTCTGGATTTGTTGTTGAGGAATTGCTCTCCATTCCTGTCCTGGATGAATGCATCATGCACCATGCACTGATGGTCATTGGTTGTGACTGCCTCTGATATACATGTCCACTCAGTGCATTACAGGCATACTCAGCAGAAGCCACATCGGGAATAATACAGGCCAATATGTTTCCCTAGAACCTTGCGCGACTGTGGTTATGCAGGGGCAACGATTGTTCTGCCACAGGGCTGAGTGCTGTCACAAGGATGAGACAAAGACAAGTCGAGGGCACCTCATCTCAATATCTTGTTCTAGTCAGATTTTCAATAAGAACAGTCACATCAGAGATGGTGCTCTCAGAGACATGCAAGGCTGCAGCAAAAGCTCTTATATTTTTTTTTCTATTCTGACACCACTGGTTTGAGAATGCAATAAACCGAACCAATTTTGATGGGTTCAAATGAGATCATTTGTATTCAGTT